ATCATCCCTTACTTGTTTCAAAAAATTCCCATTTTCCATAAAAAAAGCAGTTTTTTTATCAATTCGCCATCTCTCTTGAATTTGTCTATACACAAGCCAGGAAAAGTCTGGATACTTCCGTCTCAAAACTTCTATTGATTTGAGGCACCATTCACCACTGCCACTCAAATATAACAAATCTTTATAAGATGGCGCCTCCCAAAACTTCTCTTGTTAAGACAGACGTTTTTAACTGAGTTTTGCCCCACTTAACAACCTTTCTTGACACAGTCGTTAAGTGAAGCACAGAAGTTCTTAAGCTAATGACACGGTTGTTAAGCAAATCCGGCTTCCTTGTTGATTTTGCTTGTCAGACGGTCGCAAAAGGGGATCGCGTGACCCCGGGACACTGACCGTCATAAATATGAGTCTGTTGCCAAGCATCTGAATATTGATCACGTGATCCATGGGGGATGCTGCAGTAGTCATAAGTGTGAAACTTTTTCCTGTGCTGTTGTAGCTTTGAATGGTCACTGAACAAATTGTTGTAAGTTGAGGACTGCTCAGTAATTGCTGAGAACAAGCCAGGATCTTTGTGATTCTCTTGCCTGTTTCTAAATTGCACCCACAGATATTACAGCCCCAAATAAATGGAAAGAAAGGTGGGCAGATTGCATGCTTGTTTCAGCTTGGTCTCTTCCGGGGAAACCATGGTTATCTGAACTAAAGCGGCAAACATCTCCGAGCTTGCTGGGATCTGGCTGTGACCCATTAAACAAACGGAATTCCTTTCCTCCTGCTGGTTTCAGTAGTCAGGGAAACTGAGGAGCACTTTTAAAAGTCGGCTGGCTAAAAAGAAAGAAAAATCTGGACAACTTCTGTGTGAAACTGACCGGGAGCGTGTCTGTGGAGGGGGGAAAAGCAATTAACTATCCTCTAGTCAGGAAAGGAAAGGGGTGATCTCAGCTTCACATCTTGACAAGTTTTCCTAGCCTCTCCAGGACATTTGCATGTAGTCCTCGACTTATGACCACAAAGGAGCCCAAAATGCCCGTTGTTAAACAAGACAGTTGTTAAGAAAGTTTTTGCCCCATTTTATGACTTTTCTTGCCCCAGTGGTTAAGTGAATCTGATTCCCCCATTGACTTCGCTTGTCAGAAGGTCACAAAAGGGGATCAAGTGACCCCGGGACACGCAACCGTCGTAAATATGAGTCAGTTGCCAAGCAGACAAATTTTGATCATGTAACGTTAAGATGTTGCAACTGTCATAAGTACATGCCAGTTGCTAGGTGTCCAAATGTTGACCTCACGACCGTGGGGATGCCGTAATGGTCATAAGTGTGAGGACCAGTCGTAAGTCACTTTCTTAAGTGCTCTTGTGTTTTCGAGTAGTTGCTAAACAAATGGTCGTAAGTCAACTTACAACAGTGTGTTTAGTAGCCGTTCAAAGTTACAATGGCACTGAAAAAAGTCAGTTACGACCGGTCCTCACTCTTACGCCCATTGCAGCATCTCCGTGTTCCACGGGGGTCAAAATTTGGACGCTTGCCACCTGACTCATATTTATGACGGTCACAGGGTCCCGGGATTCACGTGGTCCTGCTTTGTGACCTGAAAAGCAGAAAGCCAGATTCACTCCACAACCATGTTCCTAAATTAACAACTGCAGCTAGAAAGGCCAAAAAATGGTGCAAAACTCATTTAACAAATGTCTCGTTTAACAACAGACATGTTGGACTCAATTGTGGTCGTAAGCTGAGAAATACCTACATACAGCTGAACCTGTAATAGCGATGTTTCTCTGCCCCCTGCTGTTTTTAATCTTCATTTATCGATCAGCATGGTTTAATGTTGTTTTAATGTTAGTTTTTTTGTGTTCCACGGATGCTGCTGTGTAGTTGTGGCTGTTGTGGGTGCTTTGTCGCTATCCAACTTTCCAACTTGACAGAAAGCATGGAATAAAAACATCCGGGTACAGTTTTATTACTCCCTTTCTCAAGTTCTCCTTTTCCAGACTAAGTTTTTTATTATTATTATTATTATTATTATTGTATTGTATTTTATTTATATCCTGCCTTTATTATAGTTACAAACAGAGGTAGTCCTTGACTTATGACCACAACTGTACCCAAAATTGCTAAGTTAGACATTTGTTAAAGTCCTTTTATGACCTTCCTTGCCACAGTTGTTAAATAAATCACTGCAGTTGTTAAGTTAGTCACATGGCCGTTAAGTGAATCTGCCTTGCCCATTGGTTTGCTTGTCGTAAAAGGTCGCAAAAGGGGATCACGGGACACCGTGACCGTCATAAATACGAGTCAATTGCCAAGCATCCAAATTTTTATCATTTGATCATGGGGATGCTGCCACGGTCGTAAGTGTGAAACATAGTCAAAAACCATCTTTTTCAGTGCCGTAACTTCAAATGGCCACTAAATGAATAGTTGTAACTTGAGGACTACCTGCATTCCCTTTCTTGACCCCTCCTGTTCCAGGTTTATTTATTTTATTTTATTGTTCATTTTATTTGTGTCCCGTTTTTATTATAATTGCGAATAATTCAACACGCCTTCCTCCTCTTATTTTCCCCACAACAACAGTCCTGTGAGGTAGGCTGGGATGAGGGAAGGTGACTGGTTCAAAGCCATCCAGCTGGTTTTCACGGCTAAGGCAGGACTTGAACTCACAGCCTTCTGCTTCCTCTGAACACTCCACTTGGAAGTTCTTGAGGTGTTAGCCCACCCACAAGAAATTTTGTCGCTTTGGGGTGTTGAGATCCTTTTCTCTTTCTTCCCCACAGGTTTTTGACAGCAGCTCCGATGCCATTCCGATTCACGCCATTGGGGTCCTCACCTCCATCATGGCCACCTCCCCCGCAGCTAAGGTAAGACCCCCCCCAGGGACCCTCCTGGGATGTCTGAAAGCAAATGCCATTTCTTGTGCATTTGCATCCCAAAGTATGGGGGGGGGGTGTTTCCCGCAACTTGAACAGGGTGCAGGAAGTGAAGACGAGATCAGCTTGCAGCCCAACGGAAATGACTCTGTGGGGTCCTCGGTGGTCTCTGAGCTTGGTGGTTTTCTTGCAGGCGTTACGTGACCCAACTAGAGAACACCATCAGTGCTAGAAGGGACTGCCTATCAACAGAGAGCAACCCCCCCCTCCCTTCTAGCACTGATGATGTTCCCCAGTTGAAACGTCAGCAAGGAAACCACCAAGTTCAGAGAACCTCAAAGACCCCACAGTCATCCTCCTCCTCCTCCTCAACCCTCCTAGCAGTGATGACGTTCCCTAGTTGGATCATGAAATGTCTGCTAGAAAACCACCCAGCTCAGAGAGCACATGGGACCCCCACAGTTCAACCCCTAAGCTACAAATATTCTCTTATATTATGATGGATGGATAGATGAACGGGAGAAGATAGATCGACAGACAGACAGACAGACGGATAATAGATAAATAGACAAATAGCTGATAGACAGACAGACAGACAGATAATAGATAGATAGATAGATAGATAGATAGATAGATAGATAGATAGATAGATAGATAGATAGATAGATAGATAGATAGATAGATAGATAGATAGATGATGGATGGATAGATGATGGATGGATGGATGGATGGATGGATGGATGGATGGATAGATAGATAGATAGATAGATAGATAGATAGATAGATAGATAGATAGCTATAGATGATGGATAGATATAGATAGATAGATAGACAGACAGATAGACAGACAGACAGACAGACGGATGATGGATGGATGGATAGATAGATAGATTGATAGATAGATAGATAGATAGATATAGATGATGGATAGAGATAGATAGATAGACAGACAGACAGAGAGACAGAGAGACAGAGAGACAGAGACGAGGATGGATAGATGAATGTTGGATAGAGATATTAGATTGATAGATGAGATCGATAGATAGATAGATGATGTAGAGATAGATAGATAGATAGACAGACAGACAGACAGACAGACAGACAAGGATAGATATGAATGTTGGATAGAGATATTAGATAAATGAGAGAGAGAGAGAGAGAGAGACTCTCCTTGAAGTTTGCAAAGTCTGCCTGGGTCTGGCAGGGGCTCACTGGCCACTTTCTCCTCCAGGAGGTCTTCAAAGAAAGGATCGGCTACTCCCACCTCTACGAGGTCCTGAAGAGTCAGAGCCAGCCCACCAAGAAGCTGCTGCAGGAGCTGCTCAACATGGTGAGAACGTCGCACTTTCTGATTCAGAAAGCGGTGAATGCTTAAGAAGAGACTGGACAGCCATTTGTCTGAAATGGTAGAGGGTTTCCTGCCTGAGCAGGGGGTTGGACTGGATGACCTCCAAGGTCCCTTCCAACTCTGCTATTGTTGTTGTTGTTGTTAGAGAGCTGAGAAACAGGGTCGTCTTTCTTTATTTTTATAAAGTTCATGCTTTTTACATCTGGTCCTTCAAAAATAAAGAGGTTTATTTGGGGCCATGGTCTGAAAGTGGTTTGCCATTGAGTTTTTTTTTTTTTGTTTTTTTTTTTGCAAATTGCTTAACTCACCTTCCCAGTGCTGCCTATCGCTTTGGGATCTCCAGGTGGTCTCCTTTCCCAATCCCGCTTAGCCTTTTTTTCAAGGCCAGCCAAGGTTAGCTTCCTGCTAAACTCAATTTTTTAAGCAATAAATGGAGTAAATGATCAGATTGATGGCCTGGGCTATTCTTTCAATTTAGCCTACCTAGTAGGGTAGTTGAATTCCTCATTTGGGCCAAAAAAAGAGTGTATGCTAATTACGTGGAGCTGTCTGCAAATATATAACATTTTACCATTGTTTGGAGGAAAAAAACCTTTCCTGGCAAAATCCAGGATGGAGTGCACATTAGGAGAAGAAGGATGGGGTCCAGGTTGGGGAACAGGGGTAGCAGGACGGAAGGGGAAAAATCCTTTGAGGGCGAGGAGTGGCTATACAAATTTGATAAATTCAATTCAATTTAACAAAAGTCACAAGCTGCTCTGTGCAGCAAAACTGAGCCTGAAATTAGACTAATTAAAATAAGAATTAGACTTGGATAAGAGTTGAATTAAAATTGAACTGGAAGAATTAGAATTGAATTACAATTGGATTAGAATTCAAATTGAATTACATTTGAATTGGAACTGAATTAAAATTGAATTAGAATGAGAATTATATTAGAATTTGAACTGAATTAGAGCTGAATTAAAACTGAATTGAATTAGAATTGAATTGAGTTAGGGGTAGAATTGAATTAGAATCAGAATTGAATTACATTTGAATTAGAACTGAATTAAAATTGAATTAGAATTAAAATTAGAATTAGAATTGAATTGAATTAGGGATAGAATTGAATTAGAATCAGAATTGAATTAGAATTAGGATTAAAATGAATTGAATGAGAATTAGAATTAGAATTGCATTATACTTAGAATTACTAAATTAGAATTACATTTGAATCAGAATTAGAATCATGATTAGAATTAGAATGGAATTAGAATTCAAATTGAATTAGAATTTAATTTGAATCAGAATTAGAATTAGAATTGAATTAGTTCAAATCAGCATTAAAATTCAAATCAAATTAGAATGAGATAGAATTGAATTAGAATTATTGAATTAGAATTAAATTTTGAATCAGAATTAGAATCGAATTAGAATTCAAATTGAATTACAATTAAATTTTGAACCAGAATTAGAATTGAATTAGAATTCAAATTCGGTTAGAATTATCAAATTAGAATTAGGTTTAGGATTAGGATTAGAACTGAATCAGAATTAGGATTAGGATTAGAACTGAATCAGAATTAGAATTAGAATTGGAACTGAATAAAATAAAGAAATTAGGGCTAGAATTAGAATTAACCATAACTCACCTTCAGACCTGTGACCCTTTTTCCCAGGCCGTCGAAGGGGATCACACCGCCTCCCCTCCGCGCCTCATCCACAACGAGCAGCCGCTGTTGATCCTGACCCAGTGGATTCCCGAGCTCACCTCTCAAGACCTCCAGATCTTCCTTTCGGAGTGGCTGAAGAAAATCTGCAACGCTTCTCTCCAGAGCCGCACAACCTGTGTCCGGGCGGGCATGGTGGGCTACTTGCTGGACGCCCTGAGCGCCGCGCAGCAGAACCTCGACCGCAAGTGCACGGAGAACCTTGTCGACTTGCTGCAAGTGCTCGGCGGTCTCTCGATCCGTCCGGGCGAGTTACGGCAGTTGCTGAGACTCCTCCGGACCGAGCACGGCGCGGGTTGCCACTCGTACACGGTGCAAGTCGTGCGAGCTCTTTCGGGCATGGCGCGTAAGGAAGGACCCGAGCGGGCGTTGCAGTACTTCGATCTGACGCCCAGTATGACGGGGATCATGGTGCCCACCATCCAGAAGTGGCCCGGGTGCAGCTTCGCCTTCCATGCCTGGCTGTGTCTCCTGGCCGAAGAAACCAAGGACGGTCCGGAGGAGACTGGCCGACTGAAGCGGAAGCAGCTGTACAGGTGGGGGCACCTAGCGCATGTAGGCGCTGGGGTGCGACCTTGTCTTTCGTGATCTGGGCAGGCTGAGGAATGGGGGATTGGGGATTATGAAGAGGGCTGGAAGCCTAGAGCCCATGGAACCAAGATGACGCCCCACGCAACTTTAAGAAATGTGGACTTCGACTCCCAGAATTCCCCAGCTGACGTGCTTTAAGAGGGATGAACTTCGACTCCCAGAATCCCCCAGCCAACGTGCTTTAAGAGGGGTGGACTTCCAGTCCCAGAATCCCCCAGCCAGCCCACTTTAAGATGGGTGGTCTTAAATACTGGCTGGGAATTCTAGGAGTTAATAATAATAATAATGATAAAGTTGGAAGGGACCTTGGAGGTCATCTAGTCCAACCCCCTGCTCAGGCAGGAAACCCTACACGATTTCGGACAAATGGCTGTCCAGTTTCTTCTTAAAAACTTCCAGTGTTGGAGCATTCCCCGCTTCTGGAGGCAGGTTGTTCCACTGGTTAATTGTTCTAACTGTCAGGAAGTTTCTCCTTAGTTCTAGGTTGCTTCTCTGCTCGATCAGTTTCCACCCGTTGCTTCTTGTCCTGCCTTCGGGTGCCTTGGAGAATAGCTTGACTGCCTCTTCTTTGGGGCAGCCCCTGAGATACTGGAAGACTGCTATCCTGTCCCCCCTCATCCTTCTCTTCCTTAAACTAGACAAGTTGAAGTCCACATATTAAAGTTGCCAAGGTTGAGCAACACAGCCCTTGACTACCATAACTAACCATGATTGAAAAGGCAGGGAGGTTAGCTCCGTTCTGCTGGGGAAAGTCTATTGTCCACTTAGTTTTGGAAATTGGATTTTACCTGCTCAGGTAAATCTAAAAGCCTGAGCTCAAGTGGGCTCCTTCCTTCCTTCCTTCTGCTCACCCACCTGTCCTTCCTTCCCATCCCACCTAGCTTCTTCACCGCCAGCGGGACCGGCTTCGAAGCCTTCTTCACCACGGAGGGGATGCTGGTGGTGGCAGTCTGCACCAAGAAGGAATACATGACAGTAGCTCTGCCAGAGATTCCCTTCAATGACGCAGCCTGGGTGAGCAATGGCCGGGCTAGGAGGGCTTGGAGTGTCCGGGAACAAAATCTGGGGGTCCACGAGGTGTCACACACAGCCATTGCTGAACATTTCTAGCTGACTTAGATCTCTGGAGATTTTGAAGCAATATCCTCAACCTCTGGGCCCCAGCCCACTAATGCAGGGGTCCCCAATCTTTCCAGGCTCACGGAAGAGAGCAGCTTCAAAATTGGTGCGTATGCGCGCATGTGCGCACACAAGGCCACACACACTGGCGTGGGACTAGCAACCCCATTCATGCATGCAGCATACGCTGCTGCCATGTGCATGCGCAAATGGGCCACACAACTCACCTGGGTTATTGGCCCTGTTCATGCATGCACAAACGGGCAGCAGACACCCACTCCGCGCTAGTCCCCGTTCGCACCCGCGCACATGCGCAAATGGGGCCGCGGGTGCTAGCACGAGTGGGGGGAATGCACGCCCTCGCATGTGCGCACCAGTTAGCCATTTCTGCGGTCCGTTGGCCAAAAGCCCATGGCCCGGTACTGGGCCGCGACTCATAGGTTGGGGACCCTTGCACTAATGGGCCAGAAGCTGTTTGCAACCAGCCACGGAAAGCCGGGCAAGGGATGGCAGGGGCACGTGCATGCCAGTCACGCAAATGGAGCTGCACACATGCGTGTTTCATGGCCACTTGCATGGAACTATCCCCCCTCCCCGGCTGGTCCACAAAACCAGAAAGATTGGGGGAGGACAGCTGTGAGGGAGGACAGCTAAACTCAGATCAACTCAGATTACCTTGAGGAGGTTCATCTGGATGGCTGTGTTGTCAAACCCCCCCCCAAAAAAACTACACACTTGGGGTGCTGTTTTGAGAGGGGAGAGTGCTGGAGTATCCATAGAGGGGCAAAAAAGTCAAGATGGCGTCTCTGGCCAATTAAAGACTCACACAGATAATTGCAGCATTCGGATCGCATAAGCATGTGGCTGCCATCTTGATTTTTCTGACCTCCACTTCCTGTGGCCAACCTTGGGGGGGAGATTTATCTGGGGAAACCACAGAGTAACCCCCCTCTCCAAATCTCTAACCAGCACTGATCAGTTTAGGAAGATTAAAAGGAATTTTAAACTTTGGAGGTTTTGTTTTTAATGGAGTCAAGAAAAGCATCAGATTAAACAGGGGAGCAACTACAGGTGGTTCTCATTTAGAGACTGAAATTGCAAAGGCACTATAAAAACTGACTTAATGACCAATCCACGCACTTACGACCGTCGCAGCATCCCTACAGTCCCGTGATCGAAATTCAAACACTTGGCACCGGTGTGCATTTACCACGATTGCAGTGTCCCCCGATCCCATGATCACTATTTGTGACCTTCCCAATCAGCTTGTGACGAGCAAAGTAAATAGGGGAGTTGGGTTCACTTAACGACTGCGTGATTCATTGAACAACTGCAATTTATTTATTTGTTTGTTTAGAAAATTTATACGGCCACCCACTCACTCTCAACAACTCTTTTTTTCCTTAACAACAAAAAAGTCGTAACATTGGGCACGGCTCACTTAACAACCACATTGTTTAGCAACACAAATTCGGGTCCCAATTGTGGTCATAACCCGAGGCCTACCTGTAGTAAGATGCCACTTGGAGAATGTATCTCTGGAAAAGGATCTGCATGGCTGGTAGTTTTCCAAATCGACTCCCGTTTTGTCCGCGACGCTATTCATTGTCTTTCCATTCTGTACCCACAACTTGACAAACGTTGGAGTGAAACCCGCTAATCTCTGTTTCCGCTCGTCACTAGCATTGCGTTGACGTTGTCCACATCGTGGGCCGCCGGCTGTTCAGCCAGAACTTGGTGAACATTTTTGTAGATGGTCAGCTCTACAAAGTTGCTCAGCTGCGTTTCCCATCCGTCAGCGAGGTAAGATGTCCTCGGATCACGCCGTACGTCTTTGCGGGTCTGTAAAAATTGCACCCGGGAGGACATGGACAACCGGAGGATTGTTAAAATCAGTACTAGTGGTGACAGCTTTAGGAACACCGGTGATGTCCATCCATCAGGAAGCTCAGAGGTAGATGAGATTCGTTCCTTCGAAGGGATCTAGGTTTCCTGCCTGAGCAGGGGGTTGGACTAGATGACCTCCAAGGTCCCTTCCAACTTTATTATTATTATTATGGATCATCGCACAGTCAGCCAGATGTTCAGACTGGATTTGGCCTTTTTGTCTACCTATCGAGTCCTTCCCAAGGACCTGGGATAGGCAGATGTGGATGTTGGATGGTATTACAGATATCGTCGCAGGATGGAAGCAGTTCCTAGTAAGGCCGCCTTTTGCAATTGACTAATGGCAAATTTGGTATTCAAGTATTATTATTATTGTTATTATTGTTATTATTGTTATTGTTATTATTGTTATTATTGTTATTATTGTTATTATTATAACTCGCCATGAGCAACTCGTCGCGGTAAAACTCACCCCGGGACAACTTAACCACAGGACAATTCAATGCTATATTAATAATTTATTTCAGTTGTTTTTATTATTGGTGATCACGTTTTCATCAAAATTATTGTAACTCTTGTATTTCTGGATTGACTTTATGTTATTATTATTGACCTTGGTTCCATCGAAATTAATTTAAATATTGTGTTTGTTGAATTGTCCTATGTGTCAATGCTGTTTTGTTTTGACACTGTGGCTAGTTGTCTCGTGGTGAGTTGGCTGTAGCAAGTTGCCCCATGGCAAGTTGGTTGTGGTGAGTTGGCCACGGCAAGTTGTCCTTTTCCACCTTCAAGGATCCCACAAAACCCCACTTCAGGAGCAAGGTTGGTGGAGAGGGCCCGTGCAGGTGGTCCTCAACGTACGATCGGTTGCTGAGCAACCCGTCAGAATTTACAGCAGGCCTCAAAAATGGGCCTTACGAAGCAGATCCCATGTTCTAACAGTCACTCCCACCCTGTAGTCACATAATCGCCCTTTGGGCGCCGGTCAGTACAGCCATATTTACAACTATTTGCAGCGTCCTACTGTCATTTGATCTCATTTTATGACAGTTTTGATGAAAGCCGGCAGTTATTTCCAGTGTTCGGCAAAACTTGCCATGGTAAAGCATTAATGACTTAATGCTTTCTGGTTCACTTAGTGACCGTAGGATTTGCTGAATGGCTGCAGTGATTCACTTAACCACCACCACAAAAAAGTCGTAAAAATCAGATTGGTCACATGACTGATCTCTGTTCCGACTTATGATCCTAATGGGCCTTTATGATTGTAAATCAAGGACTTGCTGTAGAGCAGGGGTCTTCAAACCCCTGGCTGGCTGAGGAATTCCTTGCTGAGGAATTCTGGGAGTTGAAGTCCACCAGTCATAAAAGGGCCAAGTTTGAAGACCCCTGAGAGTCTGGATCCAAGCCCACAGGTTCATCAAAATGGCCGACTGAGGAATTCTGGGAGTTGAAGTCCACAAGTCATAAAAGGGCCAAGTCTGAAGAGCTCTGCTCTGTAGAATCATTATTCTTAATAGCCTTCAGATGATGAACAGAGAAGATCAGCCATGACCCTCCTGATCTTTTGGGCTCCTGAGCTTGGGAAAAGAGGAAAAGTCCACATTTTGGGTTGATTGTCCATCACCCAAGTGAAGAGATGGATAGTTTGCTTTGCTGTTGAATTTCCCTGTGGAGATTTTTCATATCCTTCTTCTCCATTTGCGTGTCATTGTCTTGTCTGTATCTCCTCAATCCAAAATCCAGAAGGTTAATTCTACCACTTTCTTTCTGCTTCTCCAAGGAGGGAAGTGTGTAAAATCATGGATTCCTTGTAGGAACTCCTTCTTGGGTTCCTTGGTCTTTTTTGAAACTTGGTGGACTGCTTTAGATACCATCATGAACTTGGAGCTTCCCAGTGGGCCAGTTCTGCTCAAAATATAAAGTCTCCTGCCTTGGACAAGGGATTGGACTAGAACAGGGCTAGGCCACCTTGGCTCTTTTGTGACTCGTGGACTTTAATTCCCAGAATTCCTGAGCCAGCCGTGCTGAGGGGAAAGGGAGAGATTTCCAAGCTGAGCCAGGCTGGCTCAGGAATTCTGGGAGTTGAAGTCCACGAGTCATAAAAGAGCCCAGGTTGCCTACCCCTGGACTAGAAGACCTCCAAAGTTTCTTCTAACCCTATGATTCTATGTCCAGTTGTAAAATCCAGGGAGGGATATTGACAGCTACCATTTAAAGACATCTTCTTCAGATGTTCTCCAGGTAGTTTGAACCTCAGCAGCCACAATTTTGCATGATCGTTTCAAAGGGATGATGGGTGTTGAGGTTCTAGTGGTTTGAAGGAAAACAAGATGGAAAAAGTAAAGTCTAGCAAACAGGACAAGAACAGAAATATTTATACCTTCTAAATGTCCAACTTTTGTCCTCTTCCTGGCCAGGCCTTCACATCTTGCTGCATTGGTTCTGCTGGTCACCGGACCACCACCACATCCACGATCTACTCACCCCCGTCTCACTCGCCAGATCTGGAGTTCCCAACGCATCCTTTTCTGAACCGCTCACAGTCCTTCCCAGCATCTCTGGCTTCTCACACCTGGACCCCCATCCCGCCCCGGGAAAGCATGGTTTCTACCATGATTGCGGGGACCCAGGACACCGAGTGGGGAATGCCCACCTCTTTGGAAGGCCATTTGGGGTCAGTCGCCATCTTCTACGAGGCACTCCAGCCTGCTCAGGTGAAGGCCCTCTTCTTGGCAGGTAGGGCTCTGGAGAAACCATGTGTGTTGTCCATCTCACCCAAGGACACTTGAAGAATAGGCAAATTGGACTTGATGTTTGGGATGGGGACATTGATGGTCCAAACAGAGCAGAACAAGAGCAAGGAGGAAAGCAGGAGGTAAGGATGGGACACATCCTGATGGAGGACCATCATCCAGAACTTCAAAGGATGGTCCTTTTGAGGAGGACCTGCTCCTATCGCACTCTGAGCTTGAGGACACCAAGTCTTGCTTCTTTGACTACAGCTCTTGTTTCCTTCCACAGGACCAAATATTGCATCACCATTTAAGCCCGAGGGAGATTTTGGGGAACTGAGTAGCAAACTACTTTTGTACTACACACCCCAGGTAAGGTTAAGTCTGCACACCTGTGATCAGCCTCTTCCACAAAGAGGACCTAGCCTGATGACAGGACCATGTTTGAGATCCTCAGAGCTGTTCTTTGTCTTTTTCTCCTTCGGTGGTTCTCTAGGCCTGTAAAAGCAACATCTGTCTGGACCTTTCTCCAAACCATAACCTGGATGGGAGGCTGACAGGACATCAAGTGGTGAACTGGGACGTTAAGGTAGGTGGGAATCCATACTCACGTCTTTGAGGAACCATCTTGGCTGTTGGGAGGAAATTGCCCCAGCTTCTCACTCTGACCTGTTAGCTTCTCTGTAGGACCAAGCTAGATCACCATGGAAGTTCTGCCACCACCACCACCTTTAGAACACTGTTTGGGGGTCTTCTGAGGTCTACGGTGTGATGGTTCTCAACTCATAAAGCTTTGTTTTGGGTTCTGCATAGGATGTCATCAACTGTGTTGGTGGGATGGGAGCGCTCCTCCCTCTGCTGGATCAGGTGGCATCTCAGAAGGAAGAAAGCAAAGATATCCAGGAGATTCATGACTTGGTGGGCCCAGAGTTGACCTCTTCACGGAGTGCTCAAGGCTTACACATTCCCCTGGGAAAATCTTCAGGTGATAAAAATCTGCAGTTTTGGGGGATACAGATAGCACAGCTGGCTGGGGAATTCTGGGAGTTGAAGTCCACCCACCTTAAAGCCACCAAGTTTAGATAGTGCACAAGATTATGAAGATGATTTCCATGTTGGTTTTTCCATCTTTAGAGGGCAGGCTGGAGAAGAATGGAGTGGCTGCATTTTTACTACTGATGAAGAACTTCCTGTGTGGTCATCAAGTCAATCAAGAGAGTTTGGTCCAGTGTCATGGTCCAGCCATCATTGGAGCATTGCTCCAGAAGGTGAGCATCCATGCACACTTCCGTAGAGGGGTGATCTCATCTAGGTTTCCAATATTTTGACCTCTGTTTCAAAGATGCTTTTTCACAAGACTTTCTTGTTTTTCCTTTGAAGACGTTTCGCTTCTCATCCCAGAAGCTTCTTCAGCTCTGACTGGATAGTGGGGAATGGAAGGATTTATACTCCTTGTAGACAGCCAGTCATTTGCCTTCTTTGAAAGAGCCGTTGAGGCCACTTGGAGGCTTATCTGTGTCCTCAGTGGTGCAAATAAGTGTGGAGCCTTCTTGGAACTGCTGAAAGGATTGTGTTATAGACTGGAGATAGATGGTGTCGTATCCCTCCCCCTCTGTGTTCAGTTTTAACACAGATGGCCTCTTTGACCCCTCTTTCAAACCAGCGGTCCTCTCTGTCCAAAATGTGGACTTTGCTGTCTTCAAAAGTGTGACCTTTGTCTTTTCAAATCCAGATGGACTGCTGAATCTTGTCCTGATGGGTTTGTTCTCCAATGTTGTGTCATAACGTTTATAAAGTGGTTGTTTTGTTTCCCCAATGTACAGATCCGCACAGGGCTCACTGAATTGTGCTGCATATACCACGTTGCTCAGTTTCCCTTCTCGGCTGTTTTATGGCCCAAACGTGACCACGTTCCTTCCTGATCAACAATGTTTCAACGTAGTCTTCTCCCTAACCTCTCATTCTATCTCTGGATCTCTTGGTGGTCTCCTGCCCCTTGCTAACAACGTTGTGTCCTTGCTTAGCTTTCCAAACTCAGCCCAATCCAGATAAGGGCTGCCCCTGGCGAACTAAATACAGGTAGTCCTTGACTTACTACCATAATTGGGACTGGAAAATTCGTTGTTAGGTGGCATGTCATTAAGTAAGGCCTTGTATCATCGTACCCCATTTTACAACGATTTTTGTTGCCGTTATTAAGCAAGACATTGTGTAATTGCAACTTGAGACTTTGTGTCGTGGCTTGTCGGAAGCCAGCTGGGAAGGTTGCAAATGGTGATCATGTGACCCCAGGATGCTGAAACCATCATAAGCACCCGAGTCACCAAAAGGTGACCACAGGGACACTGTGACGGTCATGAGTGCAAGGACCAGTCATAAGTTACTTTTTTTCAGAATCATCATAATGGCTGCTAAAGAAACGGTCATTAAGTCGAGGACTAGTGTGGTGTGACACCATTTATTTTTAAAATCCTGAAAACAGGATTGTCCATTGTCAAAAAAGTCAAGATGGTGGCCCCAACCATTTAATTGACACTCCATCCCTTTTTATAAGCATCATAACCCACATATTTCAGACACACGATTGTGGCCATCATCTTGTCTTTCCTGAGCTTGCCTGCCTGGGTAAGGCCCCATTTGTGTTCCTTCTCTTCATTAAAGCTAACCTATCAATCAATCAATCAGAATAGATCTGGAAGGGACCTTGGAGGTCTTCTAGTCCAACCCCCTGCTCAAGCAGGAGACCCTATTCCATTTCAGACAAGTGGCTGTCCAGTCTCTTCTTGAAAACCTCCAGTGTTGGATCACCCACAACTTCTGGTGGCAAGCAGTTCCATTGGTTAATTGTGCTCACTGTCGGGAAGTTTCTCTTTAATTCCAGGTTGCTTCTTTTCTTGGTTAGTTTCCATTCATTGTTTCTTGTCCTGCCTTCTGGTGCATTGGAAAATAAGTGGACCCCCCTCTTCTTTGTGGCAGCCCCTCAAATACTGGAATAACTGCTATCATGTTCCCCCCTCCCAGTCCTTCTTTTCTCTAGACCCAAATACTGCAACCGTTCTTCATATGTTTAATCATCCTAGTTGCTCTTCTTTGCACTCTTTCCAAAGTCTCTACATCTCTTTTGTGATGGGTTGACCACCACTGGATGCAGAATTCCAGGTGTGGCCTTATTAAGGCTTTATAAAGCGGTACTAATACCTCGTGTGATCTTGATTCTATGCCCCTGTTTATACAACCCAGGATTGTATTAGCTTTTTTTGGCTGCCGCCGCACACAGCTAGCTCATGTATTTTCATAATGTGCCATCTTCCAGTCTTTCTTCATTCTTTGACAGCCATTGAGCAAAATAGGTCTCCATTTTCCTTTTCTGATGCTCAGGATTAAAGATCTACCAACCAACCCTTTATGAAAGTCGAGGGGTATGTGTGTCTCTCAATCCCTGTTCCAACAGAACACCTGGTCCCATCCCATAACGATGTGTGAGCCCTCAATTCCTCTTCAACTTCAGTGGGAATAAGGGGCATTGTAGTCCTGAGCATCAGTTCCTTGGCGTTAAATCCCACAAGATTGGATCTGGAAGAGCAGAAGGGGCCTTGGGGAATGATGAGAAGAAGCCACAGGGACTCTGCCCGTGGACAGGCTTCTTGATCTTACGTGGAGGATAAAGTCTTCACATAGATCTTTCCACGTTCTGCAGGTCTCCAGCCAGGCGATGGACATGAATGTCCTCATGGCCTCCCAGATTCTGATGGAACAGGTGGCCTCGGAAGGACACAACCTCTTGCTTCATCTCCTCTACCAAGCCCTCCTCTTTGACTTCCGCATCTGGACCAACAGTGACTTCGCCGTCCGGCTGGGTAAGTTCAGGATGGTCTAGAGCAGGGGTCTTCAAACTTGGCCCTTTTATGACTTGTGGACTTCAACTCCCAGAATTCCTCAGCCAGGCATGCTGGCATGATGTCCACCAGTCATAAAAGGGCCATGTTTGAAGACCCCTGGTCTAGAATATTGACAGACCCATCGGCCCCAAGAAAACTGGTCCTTCAAGAGAGTGAGAAGATCCTTTCTCCACCTTTGGTGCATCGCAGAGTCTTTCCATGGGTTGAAATTCTTCTGAAAGGTCAATGACATCCTTTCATTTCCTGAGCCATAACTTGGCTACTTCTTATGGATGTCCTTTCTTTGGTCAGGTTGCTCCATTTGCATGATATCTCAAGAGAGATGTAGGTGGGACTCCATGACCATCTAAGGAGGACCCCTGCCTTGAGAATAGGATGGGCAAGATTAGCAGGTATGGCCCACCTTCTTCCTCAACTTGTCTCTCTCTTTGATAGGTCACATCCAGTACCTATCCAATATAATTAAGGACCACAAACAAAGGATAAGGAAGAAATATGGGGTTCAGTACATCCTAGATTCCATCCGGACCTATTACGGGTGAGTTAAGAGAACATTGCAAAATCCTCCTTGCTTGGTTCCTGGTCAAGGCGTCCTCTCCTCTAACAGACAACCTGGTGCCCTTGTTCCTTTCCTACTTTCTCCATTATGACCTTTTTCCTGTTCCTTCTCCTCAGAACCTACAAAGAGAAGCCCATTGCCACCGATGACCTCCGGACAGTGCAAACGTCCCTCTTCAGCCTGATCAAAGACTTCTTCTGCAGGAACATCTCCAGCGATGAGATGCAAAGCACCATGAACTACCTGGCAGCCGTAAATGATGAGCACCAGGTAGATTGGAGACCAAACCAAGAACTTCGATGGATGGATGGATGGATGGATGGATGGATGGATGGATGGATGGATGGATGGATGGATGGATGGATGGATGGATGGGTAGATGGATGGATGGATGGATGGATGGATGGATGGATGGATGGATGGATGGATGGATGGACGGACGGATGGACGGATGGACGGATGGATAGATGGAAAGATGAATAGATGGAAAGATGGATTGGTAGATGGATGGATGGGCAGATAGATGGGAGGATGGATGGATGGATGGATGGGTAGATGGATGGATGGATGGATGGGTAGATGGATGGATGGATGGATGGATGGATGGATGGATGGATGGATGGACAGACAGACGGATGGACGGATGGATAGGTGGAAAAATGAATAGATGGAAAGATGGATTGGTAGATGGATGGATGGGCAGATGGATGGATGGATGGATGGATGGATGGATGGATGGATAAAGGTAGATGGACACACAAACAGGTGGATGGATAGACGGGTGGGTGGATGGATGGGCAGATGGATGGAGGAAGGAACGGAGAGACGGACGGACAGAGGAGTGGATGGATGGATGGATAGATAGATAGACATAGAAAGGGATAGATGGACGCACAGAAGTGGGTGGACAGACAAGTAGGTGGATGGGCAGATGGAGGGAGGGAGGGAAGAAGGAAGGAACGGACGGACCGACAGAGGAGTGGGTGGATGGATGGATGCATAGATGGATGGGTAGATATATGGATGGATGGATGGATGGCCCTCTCATTCCCAGACAAGTAAGCCTGCATATTCAACCTGGCATCTTCCAGATATATTGGACCTCATCTCCCAGAATTCCCCTCCTGCAGAGCCAAAGGCTAGGAATGTTGGGAGTTGAGGTCAACCATACCTTAGAAAGTTCCCTGTCGAAGAGAGATGTTCTGAAGTATGGATTCTTGCATTGGGCTGCTGGTTTTCCGGGCTTACTATAAGGAGAGGTCAAATCCCAGATTTCAGATCTATCCTAGGAAGACCTTGAGCACAAACCAAGATCAGTTGATTAACCGTAGGCAACATTCAGCAAGGTTTAACATGCTCATTCCAAGATGTGCTCCCAGAACACACCTGGACACCATTGCATGGAGATTCTAAGTTTAGAAGCTTTGGAAGGAAGGTCTACCTGGAGATGGCATGACAGCAGTTTTCCATTTACTGACGTGTCTCACAGGTATGTGGGATCCTGGAAGTGATCCAGAATCTGCAGAAGAATTCCCCATGCCAGGACCAGCTCTTTGCTTTCCTGTTTGAACCGGGCAACGTAGAGGTCTTCTTCTCACTGCTCATTCAACGGAAGTTCTCGGATGAAGTCCGGGAGAGAATCTTCAAGGTAGGAACTCATCTCCATGAGTCCCAAATATGCTTTTTCAGGAGTCAACTGGACTTTTCTTGTTTTTTCTTTGAAGACGTTTCGCTTCTCATCCCAGAAGCTTCTTTAGCTCTGACTGGATGGTGGGGAAATGGAAGGATTTATACTCCTTGCAGACAGCCGGTCCTTTGCCTTCTTTGAGAGAGTCCTTGAGGCCACCTGGAGGTTTAATCTCTGTCCTCAGGGTCACCTGAGTGGTGCAAATGGGTGTGGAGCCTTCTTGGAACTACTGAAAGGACTGGTCAACAACACACCCATTTGCACCACTCAGATGACCCTGAAGACACAGACATGACCAGATAACTCTTTCCAGTGCAAACCACGTTGTCTTTTTGTTTGTTTTTGCACAGATTTTGTACAAGTTGCTGAAGTACGAGAAGGTCCACGAACGGTATAAGCATCGCTTGAAGCTGAAGGACATCGGCTATCACGGCTTCATCTCATACCTGAATGACATCCCGGTTTCCATACTGTTTTTCCGGTGCCTTCTAGAACAAGTCCTTGGAGCAGGTACCTACGCAGAGGCTGGCTGGGGGATTCTGGGAGTTGAAGTCCACCCATCTTCAAGTAGTCATGGTTGAAAACACTGATATATTATATTCATCAAAGACTACAGACCAGCAAGTTTGTGTCTGGTTAACTGGAGCTTAGCATATTGTACGAACCAGCTGCTTCACATCTGCCACTGTGGATTGTTGAGTTTGCAAGAAACGGGAATGGGACAACTCACCACAGCCAACTCACCGTGGGGCAACTAACTGAGGGACAATTTAACAATTCTATTTAATTATTTAAAACTAGCTGTACCCGGCCACGCGTTGCTGTGGCTCAGTCTGGTTAAATGGAAAAGAAAGTGTTGCTTTTACGTCCAACAGATGGCGCTGTTTTTTTAAAAAAGCATGTTTTTACCTGTCACAGGTGTGACATCTATATCATATAGGTATATAAAAACACGCGCGTATTCGAATGCAACGTTGTGTCAAAATTTTAAAGCAATCGCTGAAGAACTTTCGGAGATTTAAGATTTTGAACAAACGGACATTTACATTTTTATTTATATAGATAAATTAAAAATTATTTTAATTTTTGCCATTCACATTTCATTCCGTCCTTCGTTTTGCATCCTTTTTTTATTGGGTTTTTTTTTCTCTATCATTTCTTTGATGTTAGTGTCACTTTTGTTCCACAGCACGTTGACCATGGCAAGTTCGCTGTGATAAATTGTCATAGACCAGTGTTTCTCAACCTTGACAATTTTAAGGCATGTGGACTTCAACTCCCAGAATTCCACAGCCAGCAATGCTGGCTGTGGAATTCTGGGAGTTGAAGTCCACATGCCTTAAAATTGTCAAGGTTGAGAAACACTGTCATAGACCCACAAGAAACTACCTGTTCAGCCTTTTATCTGTAGGATAACATCCATTTGGGATTTCCGTGTTCATTGTAATAACTCTCACTGTTTTTCTTGTTTGTGAGAACGTGTGCAAGAGAGCTCAAGCATGTAGCCTTCATTGGTTTGGACACAAGCATAAAGCCATTTTGGTCTTTGCTTTCTTATTCTCAGATTCCCCGAACTACAAGGATTTGATGGCTGTTGTTTACCTCTCTCACCGGGCAGATCTGACGGTCAGACTGGACATCTGCAGGAAGGTATGTCGGACTAGGAACACCTTTGTACAACTAGAGTGAAACAGGAAGTGGTTTTGAAGGGTCCCTGGTGCTCACTGAGCTGGGTGGTTTCTTTGCAGACATTTCTTTACCCAACTAGGGAACATCATCAGTGCTAGAAGGGAAGAGGAGGAGGACTGTAGAGTCCTTGGTGCTCTCTGAGCTTGGTTGTTTGCAGAGATGAGGAGGAGGAGGAAGAGGAAGAGGAGGAAGAGAGAGGCAGAAGACTCAGAGAGCACCAAGGACCCCACAGTCGTCGTCCTCCTCCTGCTCCTCCTCCTCTCTCTTCATAAACCCCGTCCCTTCTAGCACTGATGATGTTACCTAGTTGGGTCATGAAATGTCTGCAAGAAAACCACCAAGCTCAGAGAGCACCATGGACACCCCCCCCAGTCCTTCCTCCTCCTCCTCCTCCTCCTCCTCCTCCAAGTGATGAATTACCTTAAGATTCATTGCATTAACACAATCTTCCCTGAATGCCTTTGAGCCTTATCTGTTCGTTTCCAGGCAAATGCTGGGGAGATTCCTGTACTATAAGCAGAAAACAATAAAGTAAAGAGTTGAACTTCTAGGCATGTGGATCTGGTTGTTCATGCCTCACATTGCCTTCCTGTTTCTCTCCCTCTCCAGCTCTTCCACCTAATTTACTCACAGCACGACATGGTGAAGCAACTGGCCAAGCTGGCGGGCTGGCAGGACACCCTCACCAAGCTCTACGTCAAGGAGTCCTACGAGTCTCGCCAACACAGCTTGTCGAACTCGGCCAACTCAGAGCAGTCCAGCATGGAGAAAGGGAAAGAGCTGGTGGGCTCCACTAGCCCTTTGACCTCTGAGCTGCCAGATTTGGATGTCTTTCTCCCCCTGGGCTACGAAGCGTCTGACCACGAGCTGTCAGAAGGCTTCTTGGACCTGTCCATGTCTCCCACCAACCAGAAGAACAAAGTCTTCCAGTCTTACGCCTTCAAATCCTTCGACTCCTTAGAGCTCGCCAGCCATTCCTCCTCCTCCAACATCATGGACCTCCCTGGCCCAGGAGAGGTCCACCCAGGGGGCCCAGCTGACCGGGTCTACCACCCGCTCTCGCCTTTCTCCATTTCCCCGTTTGACCTCGGCTTGGATTTGGGCAGCAGCAGCTCAGCGGCCACCATGGAAAGTGGAAACCAGACCCCGCTCAGCCTTCCCGGGACACCGTCCCCTCTGGAGAACTTCAAGCCCTTCCCGGGGTCCAGAGCTCGAAAAAGCTCCAGCTTGTCCAACGTGCTGGACGAGACGAGCTACCAGGAGACCCTGCCGAGCGACAGCATCTCCAACACCAGCAATCCTCAGGTGAGTTTGTCATTTGTCCGAAACGGTATAGGGTTTCCTGCCTGAGCACAGGGGGTTGGACTAGATGACCTCCAAGGTCCCTTCCAACTTTGTTGTTGTTGTTAACATCTTCCTTGGAAGTTTCGCCTCAGTTTTTTGATCCAGAATTTTGTGCATTCTCCTTGCAGTGGACTCCTTTTTTTTGCCACTGCATGGTCATTATTTTTAAACAGGGAGTTCTCGGCTTACAACAGTTCATTTAGTGACCGTTCACAGTTACAATGGCACCAGAAAAAGTGAGATATGATCGTTTTTCACACTTATGACTGGTTTTTCACACTTACGACCGTTGCAGCATCCCCCATGGTCATGTGATCAAAATTGAGATGCTTGGCAACTGACTCGTATTTATGACAGTTGCAGTGTCTCCCGGGGTCACGTGATCCCCTTTTGCGACCTTCTGATAAGCAAACTCAACGGGGAAGTCGGATTCGCTTAACAACGGTGTGACTAGCTTAACAACTGCAGCGATCCACATAACAGCTGTGGCAAGGAAGGTCGTAAAATGGGGCAAAACTCACTTAAACAAATGTCTCGCTTAGCGACAGACATTTTGGGCTCAATTGTGGTCACATGACCATGGGGTGCTGCAACAGTGGTAAGTGTGAAAAAAAGGTCATGTCACTTTTTTCGGTGCCATTGTAACTTTGAATGGTCACTAAGGTAGGTAGGTATAGATGATAGACAGACAGGTGATAGATGGATGGATGGATGGATGGATGGATGGATGGATGGATGGATGGATGGATGGATGGATGGATAGGTAGGTAGGTAGGTAGGTAAATAGATGATAGACAGGAGATAGATAGATAGATAGATAGATAGATAGATAGATAGATAGATAGATAGATAGATAGATAGATAGATAGATAGATAGATAGATAGATAGATAGATGTAGGTAGGTAGGTAGGTAGGTAGGTAGGTAGGTAAATAGATGATAGACACAGACTAGATAGATGGATGGAGGGTAGATGGATAGGTAGGTTGGTAGGTAGGTAGGTAGGTAAATAGATAGNTGGATGGATGGATGGATGGATGGATGGATGGATGGATGGATTGATTGATTGATAGGGGGGAAGAAAGATAGAAGCAAGCCATTGTGGAAGAGAAAAAATGCAGGCAAGTTAGGGTTGTGGTATCTATCACAGTTGTGTTGCAAAGGACAGCTTTTGTTCAGGATGAGGCGGGTGGAGGCAGGTGCAACCTTTGTGTCTCCACCTGTCCTGGAGCAGTTTTGGGGACCACAACCCCCAAACCCTGTGCCACTGTCCCCTCATTGCCTTCCCACTCCCAGCAAACTCCAGAGGAAGAACTCTGCAACTTGTTGACCAACATCATCTTCTCGGTCACCTGGCGGGGCGTGGAGGGCTGGGACGACGTGGCGTGGAAAGAGCGTGGACAGGTCTTCTCGGTCCTCACCAAACTGGGCTCAGCCTGTGAGCTGGTCCGCCCTCCGGATGAGATCAAGCGCAGGTAAGAGGAGGGAGCACGGTGGAGAGTGGCCAGTGGAAGCCCCCAGGGTCTTCTTCTGATAAACCCTGGGTGGATCCACTGTCCTTCATACTGGGAGTGGGGTTTGCAGGGAAGAGCAAGAGGAGGAGGAGGAGGAGAAGGAAGGAAGGAAGGAAGGAAGGAAGGAAGGAAGGAAGGAAGGAAGGAAGGAAGGAAGGAAGGAAGGAAGGAAGGAAGGAAGAGAAGGGCAGCGTCCTTGGTGCTCTCTGAGCTGGGTAGTTTTCTTGCAGACATTTCATGACCCAAACTTGGGAACGTCATCAGTGCTAGAAGGGAGGAGGAGGAGGAGGAGGAGGAGAAAAGGAAGGAAGGAAGGAAGGAAGGAAGGAAGGAAGGAAGGAAGGAAGGAAGGAAGGAAGGAAGAGGAGAGGGGTCCTTGGTGCTCTCTGAGCTTGGTGGTTTTCTTGCAGACGTTTCATGACCCAACTAGGAAACATAATCAGTGCTAGAAGGGAGGGGGGTTTGCAAGGAGGAGGAGGAGGAGGAGGAAAAGAAATGTGGGGTCCTTAATGCTCTCTGAGCTTGGTTGTTTTATTTAAGGTAATATCATCAGGGCTAGAAGAAACTGTGTATAAACAGAGGGGAAAACCCTCCCTTCCCTTCTAGCATTGATGACGTTACTTAGTTGGGTCGTAAAACATTTGCAAGAAAACCACCAACCTCGGAGAGCACCGAAGTCTCCCCAGTCCTATCCTGAGCTACAAATATTCTCTTATGTCAGAATATCAATCTTCAGATCTTCAGCAGAGTAGAGTTCATTGGGCTTTGTCTACAAGGCAAGGAGAGCCTCAGAAGACTGGACCTTCTAGAGACCTTGCATTAGATAATATTGTATCAAAGCAAGGCTAGACAGCTTGTGGGTCCCATAGCTTCCTCCAGGGCCCCTTTGGCAGATCTGCTCAAGCAGATCCGCAGATGGGGCAAAGCTTACTCTCGAAGGACCCCAGATCACAAATTTGGGTCCCATTTTGCTCTTTTAAGACCCAATTGCCCGCCCTCCCCACTGAAAGCCTTGGCCCCATCCCTGGGGGGGGGGTCTTAGAAACCAAACTATATATTTAAAAGAAGCTCAGCCTGCCCCCTTCCAAAATATTTGCCCATCCCTCTGCAGAAGAGATGGATTTTGAAGAAGGAGAGGACTTTGGATCAGAGATAGGGGTGGAGAGAAAGGGATCGATGATCTTAGAAGACCAAGGAAATGATGGAGATAGCCAAGAACTCATTTCTCGTATGTGTGACTGATTGTGTGTGTGTGTGTGTGTGTGTGTGTGTGTGTGTGTGTGTGTGTGTGTTTGATGGCTTCATTTTCACACATGAGATGTTCCTGCATGAACTTGGCTGTGTTTTAAGACATAGCCACAGGAACATAAACAGAACGGGAAGTGGCCTTCCGTCCGATCTCTTCCCATCACCCATTTTCAGCCTGTGCCTTCTCTCAACATCAACTAAAGCATCCTGCTCCCCTCTCCCACCTCTCATTTCTGCCCCCCCCCCCGCAGCCTCCTGGAGATGATGATGGAATCAGCCTTGACGGACCTGAAGGAGACGACCCCAGTCCTGCTGCCGAGCCTCACCCAGAACGCCTTGAAACTGCTCCATCTCCTCCAGGACTTCCTGTTCTCAGAAGGTCACAACAACCAGGTCCTGTGGAGTGAGAAGGTAGGGGATTGGGAGCCCGTGGACCGTGACCCTCGGTGGGAGGGATTGTGCTGAGGCTGAGGAGGAAGGCTTTGGAGGCCTTTGAGCTGCGTGGGAGCGTCATCAGTGCTAGAAGGGTTTGTTGAGAGGAAAAAAAAGAGAGGAGGAGAAGGAGGAGGAGGAGGGGAGGAGGAGGAGGAGAAGAACAGAGGGGTCCTTGGTGTTCTCTGAGCTTGGTGGTTTTTGTGCAGACATTTCATGACCCAACTAGGTAACATCATCAGTGTTAGAAGGGAGTGGGGCTTGTGGAGAAGAGGAGGAGGAGGAGGAGGAGGATGGTGTTCTCTGAGTTTGGTTGTTTTCTTGCAAACATTTCATCACCCAACTAGGTAACATCATCAGTGCTGCTTATTGTCTCTTTTGAATGATGTGTATCGTACATATGTTTATTTGCAATCACAGGTTTTTGCAAAATTGAATTCTGTGTGTGAATGTGCTTTATCTCTAATACGGTGTGTAAAGGTGGTTTACTTCTATTGCTTCCATTCAAAAATAAAGACAATTTTAAAAAAAGCGAAGAAGGAAACCAAAAGGAACACATCCTCTCTAGATAAGCAGGGATTGGCAGCCGACAAACCATCGGGCAGAAAACAATGTCCTGATCAAGGAGAAAAACCTCTTATAGGCTACCGCATATAAGCAGTACACTATGGTCGCACTGATCATTTCAACAATTCAACCTTGAACTACAAATGTTCTCTTTGATTGGAAAGAAAATTTCAGCAGATGAGAAAGATTGTTAGAGGCCGTAACAAAACAGCCCATCTTGCAAACGTTCCAGATTTAAAAGCTTTAAGGGGATCTTGACGATTTAACAAATCCCCTAATTAAAGAGAACTGGAGGGGGCCTACCTCGGTTCTCAAAATTTTGCCTAGGAATTCGGAATTCCTAATTCTTGCCATTCAACTATAAATAGTCCTTGCCTTACAACCATTCATTTAGTGACCGTTCAAAGTTATAGTGACATTGGGGAAAAAAACTATGACCGTTTTTCACAGCTGACCATCACAGCATCCCCGTGGTCATGTGATCAGAATTAGGATGCTTAGCAACTGGTTCATATTTATGACGGTTGCAGCGCCCCGAGGCCACGTGATCACTTTTGTGACCTTCTGACAATGGAAAAGCCAGATCCATTTAGCAACCGTGTTACTAACTGCAGTGATTCATTTAACAACTGTGACAAGAAAGGTCGTAAAATGGGGCAACTGTCTCTCATCAACTGTCTCGCTTAGCAACGCAAAAGTTGGGGTCAGTTGTCATCATACATTGAGTACCATCTGAGTCCTGGATCCTGCCATGAGGTTTAGGAGGTTGACCTTAGAGTCCAATGGAGAAGGACACCCCCCCATGAGAAGGGGTGGGAGAGAGAGGTAGAGAGAGACCAGATGTAGAACACGGGCTAAAGAGTCCTTCCATTGATTGTCTCCTTCTGTCCAAAAGAGAAACGTGGATTGTACATGGGAAGGGAACAACAAGGGATTTTTCCTTTGACTCATTGGTCTTCTCATCTTTCGCCCTAGATTTATGAGGGTGCCAACAGCCTGCTAGACAAGTTGGGGGTCTGGTACCACTTGGCAAACGGCACTTCGGACTTGAAGGAGATGGCCCAAATCGGCCTGCGGGTGCTGATTGGATACATCATGCTGGAAGACATACAGGTGAGTCTCCAAATTTCTACGCAGTCTGTTCCCACATATGGACAAGCCCAGGTTTGTCTTCCCACATTGATTATGCACCAGGAAGTTAGGGTCAGCTCTTAATGACCACACAGATAGACCTATTCCAGGATGATCTGACACCGGTACCCTGTCCCTGTCTAGGGGCACCCCTGATCCCTGACACCAGGTTCTTGAGTCCTTGCAGTCTGTGAATGCACAGACACAAGGGAAGGCACGTTTTAGAATTAGCGGTTCCTCCAGATCTTGGACATCCGCCTGTTTTGAAATCAGCAAATCCAGCAGGACTGCCAGGTGCTTTGCATAGACTTGCACGCATAGAATCCAAAACTAGCTACTTCATTGTTTTCAGCCTGTAATACAGGAATCTCCCCAGACAGGCAGCTTTTGCCTGGGAACGACCAGTCTTGGTAAGGTTCACGGGCATTTATTGTAGGTCAGGGGTCTCCAAACTTGCCAACTTTGTGGGTTTCAACTCCCAGAATTCCCCAGCTGAGGAATTCTGGGAGTTGAAGTCCATAAGTCTTAAAATTACCAAGATTGGAGACATCTGATTTAGGGAGTCGGGCCTTGCCCGCTTGTGTTTACATAATGAGTCTAAGCCAGGGGTGTCAAACTCAATTTCATTGAGGACCACATCAGCATTGCGGTTGCCCTGGGGGGGTGGCCAGGGTGGGTGCGGCCTACTGGGTGGGCGTGGATGGAGTGGGTGTGGCCTACTGGGTGGGCGTGGCCAGCTCTACATCGTTCACGTCAAGGGTGTCTGTGGGGGTCTGGGCAGGAGTGGGACAGATCTGGGAGTCTCTGGCAGAAGGGGGTGAGACCAGGGCAAGCGCCAAGGCATGGTGCATTTCTTCATTCCTCACAAAGGGTGACACCTCCCCAGCATGCACCCAGGGGGCAGGGCTGACACGGCAGGGGCTGGTTCCTCGCTGTTTCTGGACGGCCTTGTGGAGCTAAGACTGAATGCGTTTCAGCATAGATGGCCACCACAACATTGTACATTGGCTCCCGGCTAGCCTGGGCCAGGGCCAAGGCAGCAGGGGCCGTTCCCTCACTGTTTCCAGGATGGCTTCACGGGCCACACGAAACCACTTCGCGGGCCGCATCCGGCCCCCAGGCCTTGTGTTCGACATGTCTGGTCTAAGCTAATTCCCCACTTGATCCCTCCTCTCGACTGCCAGAATTGATCAAGAGCAGATGCATAGGCCTTTGCTGACTCCAAAGCATGCACCGATGCCCAGGATCTGCCAGATTTGATATCTCCGAAATGCCGCAGATCTCCAAGCTCTGCCACGTGTGGGTATAGCTGCAGGTGGCTCTGGAGAGCTCTGTTCTGCCTCCTTTCTGGATCTCTTTCTTCCCACAGTGCAGGACAGATTTACGCCTTAGGTTCTCCTTCCTCAACTGCCTTCTTCCTTCCTCTTTCCAGCTGCAGTCCTTGGCCTACGTCAAGCTCCACGGTCTTCTCCAGACAGCTTCGGCCCCCAGGAAGGAGCAAGCCTGTTATCTCCTGGGCAAACTGGAGACCCCACTCCGGGCTTCTCTGCACACCAAGTCGGAGACTTTCTCCTGGCTGGTGCCCATCATCCGGACTCTGATGGACCAGTGCTACGACACTTTGCAGCTCCAGCACTTCCTGCCGTCTCTGCCGCCGACCAACGGCAGCCCCACGTTTTACGAAGACTTCCAGGTCTTCTGCACCCACCCAGAGTGGCTGAGCTTCATCGAGAAGCACGTAAGTCTACCTGGCCAAGATCCTAAGGCGATGGAAGAAGACCCTTAGGAGTAACTCTCTCCCTACACCGCCATTCTTTCTTCTTCTTTTTTGCAACTTTGAGAAGAGCAGACGTGGAAGGGACCTTGGAGGTCTTCTAGTCCGACCCCCTGCTCAAGCAGGAGACCCTATATTATTTCACACAACTCACCGTCCAATCTCTTCTTAAAAGCCTCCTCTAATGGGGCACCCACAGTCTGACTTTCTTGCCCTTATCAAAGTGGCTGAGGTTATAGAGCAGGTCTAAAGGGGAAGGAGAACTTCCAAGCCACCTGGTGCAACACCTGGGTTCGGGCCACGAATCCAGATTAAACCACCTTCAAGAGGTGACTCTCCAACCTCTGCTTGACAGCATCCAGTTGTGGGGCCATTGGTCCTCTCTGAGCTTTGCTGTAGAATAGATGTTTCATGACCCAACTAGATACCATCGCTAGTGCTAGAAGGTAGAAACCCACTCTCTTCTAGCACTGATGATGTTAGCTAGCTGGGCCATGAAACGTCTGCGAGAAAATAACCAAGCCCAGAGACCACCAAAGACCGCACAGTTCTTCTCCTCCTCCTCCTCCTCCTCCTCCTCCTCCTCCTCCTCCTCCTCCTCTCCACAGTCCCCACTCTCTTCTAGCATTGATGATGTTAGCTAGGTGGGCCATGAAATGTCTGCAAGAAAATAACCAAACTCAGAGAGCACCAAAGACCCCACAGTCCTCCTCCTCCCTCCCTCCCTCCCTCCCCTCTGTGGGGCCTGTACTTCTGGTCCAACTCCTGTCCTGCACTCAATACCTGTGGACCTTCTTCCGTGTACAGGTAATGCTCAACCGACGGCCGTTCCTTTAGCAACCTGTGGCTGTCCTCCAGAACCTTCCGTTTTCAAAACGTTGGGTTTTACCTGCCCCTTTGTGTCCTCTCACTGTCCTGCTTAGTGACATTTCCGGCTGTGTCTCCCTCCCAGGTACAGCCCACCATGGCCCAGTTTGAAATGGACACGTTTGCCAAGAGCCACGACCACATGTCGAATTTCTGGAACTCCTGCTACGACGCCTTGATGAGCAGCAATCAACGGAGGGAGAAGGAGAAAGCCGAGAGCCGAAGGAAGTTCCAGGTAGGTGGGCAGGCAGGTGTGGGAAGATGGGCAGGTGGGCTGTTAGATGGGCAGGTACAAAGAAAGGTGACAGACGGGTGGGTAGGTGGGCAGGTATATAGTACATTGGCAGGTAGGTGGTTAGGTGGTCAAATATGTAGGTAGGCAGGTGGATCGGTTGGTAGACAGGTGGATGGTTAGGCAATTGTCTAGGTAGGTGGGCAGGTGGGTAGTTAAGTGAGCAGGTATGTAGGTACGTGGTCAAATGGATGATTAGGTAGGCAGATGTGTAACTAGGTAAGTAGGCAGGTAGGTGTAGGCAGGCAGGTGTGAAGATGGTCAGGTGGGTGGTTAGTTGGTCAGGTGTGCAGGTAGGTGGGTGAGGTAAATAGGTAGGTGGGCAGGTGGGTGGTTAGGCAGCAGGTCTATAGATAGTGGATAGATGTGCAGGTAGACGGGCAGGTGGGTGGTTAGGCGGGAAGGGGTGCAAGTGTGCAGGTAGGTGGGCTAGGTTGTAAATAGGTAGGTGGGCAGGTGGCTGGTTAGGTGTGCAGGTAGTGGACAGGTAGGTAGGTGAGTGGTTTGGCGGCAGCCAAATTTCTGTTGCTAAGCCACCGTTGTTAAGTGAATCACTGCAACTGTTAAATTAGTTACACGGTTGTTAAGTGAATCCGGCTTCCCCGTTGACTTTGCTGGTCATAAGGTCGTAAAGCGGGATTACGTGACCCCGGACACTGCGACCGTCATAAATACGAGTCAGTTACCAAACATCTTAATTTGGATCACGCGACCCATGGGGTGCTGCAATAGTCATAAGTGCGAGAAACGCTCCTAAGTAAATTTGTTCAGTGCCTTCAAACGGTCACTAAATGAATGGTTGTAAATCAAGGACCATCTGTAAAAATCTGGAGAAGAGTCTTCAGGCCCAGCTATCACCTTCAACTTCGGCAATGGGAGCTGAAGGTTTCTATCATTATTAATTATTATTAATGTTTCTACTATCCTGTTTTCCGATAGGTTTATCAAATTTAGAACCTTCGCTTTCTTTTTGTCTCACGTGCGGCAAGACAGACAGTCCCAACAAGATTGAAAAGTTTCAAGGGTCAATCTTCCCCCCCGTCCTGATTTTTTACCTGTTCCTATGTCCACCTGTGGTATATCTCAGTGGATCCCTGTTGTAAGTCAAGGATTATCTGCATTTGCACCCGTTCCCATCTTGCTTTTTCTCAGGATCTGATCCTGGAGCCTGTAATGAAACGGGCCAAGTACGAAAACATCCGACACACAAATATGCTGAAGCAGCTCAACCATCACCACAACACGGTCTTAAAGCAATGGCGGGCTTTGCAACGGTTGTTGACTTCACAACGCTCGGCCTGGGCTGATCGGTAAGTGGGGGGGGGGAATCTTCCTTGCAGCCCCCCCAGCCCTTCAGTCTGTCAGAAGCCCCCCGAAAGCTGTTACATGGGCTCTGGGAAAGGGTGGATTCTCCCCCTTTTTTTTTTTTTTTTGCCTTTTCTTGAATTTAATTTTATTTACAGATAATCCACTACAACTTTTATAAGATTATTTTTTTTAAAAAAAAAATTAAAATTAAATTTTACTTTAATTTTTATCACGGGGGTGAGGATGATAATGTTTCATAAAACATTTTTTTTTATAAAATTGTAAATTAATTTTATAAAATTAATAGAAGTAATTACTTTTCTAAAATTTCCTAAAGTTCCTAAATTGTACTAAAGTTAAATTTTAATTATAAAATTATTTTAAAAATTATAAAAAATTTAATAAAAATAAAATTGATAATAATGTTACTAATTTAACCATTAGCCTGTAGAGATTCATGAATTGAGTATGTTTTCTGCCCCAAAAAACCCCCATCCTCTCGCTTGTCTCCATCCAGGAATCCACCTGGGATCCGCTGGAAGCTGTCCAACGTGGAGACCTATTCCCGAATGAGACTCAAGTTGGTCCCCAATCACCATTTTGACCTCCACGCAGAAGCCAGCGCCTTGCGGGACAATCTTGGTGAGAAGAGGTTGTGAGAATGGGAACTTGCAGGTTGAAAACATGGGTGATCCAAAGGGCTTGGTTCTAGGATAGACGTGGTTGGTTCTCACTAATCAGGATCAAAAACCCCAGAAGAAGTCTCCAAGTTGTTAAGTTGTCCAATCCTGAAGTTCCCAGCCTGAAATTGACTCTCTGTGTCAAAAGATTAAGGTGGTGATCCTCAACCTTGACCCCTTGAAGTTGTGTGGACTTCAACTCCCAGAATTCCCCAGCCAACACTTCTGGCTAGGGGAATTCTGGGAGTTGAAGTCCACACAACTTCTTTTTTTTTGTAATATATTTTATTGATTTAAAAAAAAAACATAAATCACTTAATAATTGGTGAACAGTGTGTAGACAATTTAACCATTCAATTGCACGTCCTTCTAGGTGCTGATGGCTTACACAACCCAGCGGAATCCCTACCTTTAGCAGTGGCCAAAGAAGCCAAAGTCAGTGAGATGCAGGACGATCAACTGGCAGAAGAAGACCTCTCATTCTTGGACAATCAGTGAGTTTTGTCATGCCCCCCCCCCAAGAAGGGGTCTTCTCAAAGATCCCAGAGTCATCGTCGTCCTCCTCCTCCTCCTTCTCATCTCCTAGCTGGATGATGTTCCCTAGTTGGGTCATGAAACATCTGCAAGAAAATCACTAAGGTCAGAGAGCACCAAGGACCCTACAGTCATCGTTATCGTCCTCCTCCTTCTCTCCTCCTCCTCCTCCTCCTCCTCCCTCCCTCCCTCCCTCCCTCCCTCCCTCCTTCCTTCCTTCCTTCCTTCCTTCCTTCCTTCCTTCCTTCCTTCTATCACTGATGATGTTCCCTAGTTACATTACAAAACGCCTGCAAGAAAACCACCCAGCTCAGAGAGCACCAAGGACCCCACAGTCCTCTTCCTCCTCTTCATCTTCCTCCTCCTCCTCCTCCTCCTCCCTCCTCCC